AAGCGAAAGCTGCTCCTTCTCCAACAGAATTCGACACTGGAAGTCAAACTGTTCGCCAGGCCAGACCCTGTCGTAAATGCTCACACTATAATAGCTACACTTGCAGCTCACGTTTTGCCGCGGCAAGGAGGGTGCCAAAGAGGCTATGAACAACGACGCGTTTTTTGCCCAGACCAGTGGTCCCTGGTTTATTGTCCCATTGTCGACTAAGCTATCCCACTGCAAGCACATCAGTGATTGCCCCAGAACAACCAATTAGTTTTCAGGCATTTTCAGGCTAGAGATTCATAACACGTTTTTGACAAGACTAGGCTGTATTCCGAGTCCGACGGGAGCTCGGGTGAGTTTGACAGAGGGCATGGTGACAATGGTGGCTTGGCATGACGCAAACTCAAAATAGTTTGACGGTCCGTGGTCGACAGTGGGTGGTCTGTCGGGATTTCTCTTGTTAGACAAGGCAAGCTGAAAATGCGACGCGGACAGTTAAATCGTTCAGATTTATTACCTTGCTACTGAAGATAGTATTGCCAAGTAGCTAGGACATGGTGCAAGGACAAACTCATTGCATTGTATTTGTTTCTTTAAATCGAAAAGGATGCCATGAAAAGTACTTCAAGGTCATGATTTTCGAAGCATCTGGTTCTTGTGATCATAATGAATGTTTGCCGCTTGGTGGCTTCAAAACAAGGCAGTCAGACTGCTAGACCCTGCCAGCATGTGAAAGCCAATACTCAGATGAGCTCCCGCCAGAGTGAGATGAGCGCTTGTGACCTGACGTGTTCCTGGGCGCAATGCTCTCCGAAATCACGCTGCAGATTTCCAGGTTTCCTTTGTTTTATCTTTCCCGTGCTTCTCAAGCTGAGTGTGATTACGCAAACAGCCAAAAGATCATTCAAGCCTTCACGGCGCTAAAGTATACCAAAGGTGACATGATTTGTTTGGTGTTCTTTCCTTGCTTGTATTTATTGCAAATCAAAAATCATCAGTGGTCATGCAATTGAAAGGTTGGATCGCCTCTAGAATTTGAAACTGGGCCTGGCGCTTATACACATGCGGGTGCAAAAAATACAAAAGCTTGCTTCTGTGAGAGAGAGGTTCAAGTGCTTAGTAGGCTGATCAATGCTTGACCGGTAACTGTGCTGGGATTTACTGAACTTGCAGCTGGCGGCCACTTGCAGATGCTACAAATGCAGTGGTCCTCAATGGGGTGATCCAGTTTGAGATTGTCGCTGACGTTGCAATTCAAGCGCACGCTCTTTGGAGGGAAAGGCCATGAAAATATTGGCCTCGACGAGCGACTCGAGGTTCAACTTTTAGCGCTCAAAAAATTGAAGAGGCTGCCTAAAATTTGCTTCTGAACTTGAAGCAGCTGACGGAATTGGATATCAAAAGTGCTATGTCATGTCAATCTTTGCAGTCATCTCTCGAATACTTTTCTGAAGCAATTTGACTGGCTTTGGTGTTTTACCGCCTTAGTGAAGTTTTCTTCCAAAAGAAGCATGCGCAAACAGATCTACATCAAATACATCTATACACAAACCTCACATCTGCACCCCTGCGCACCTACATGTCTCACATCTTCGCGCCTGACATCTACGCATCTCGCACCTACACACCTTAGGTCTATAGACTTCGCATCTATACGCACACGCACACACACACATCCATGCACTTGAAAGACTGCACATTTGACATTGCAATCTTGCATCTATGTCCTGAAATGGCCACGGAGTTTCAGCAGTAGCATGGAACTTGCCTACGAGTGTTCTGGCAGCATGGGCTGGAAGTTGGTTGTACAACCATGAGGGGTCAAGGCTTTTTTCATATTTTCCGTTGGGGATGTCGCAGGTTTTGAAAAAAGAATCCGAGAGAAGATGAGTTGGTGCGCGCAGGCCTAACAGTCTTGCGCCAGGAATGGATGAGCCACCGGAAATAAGTCGCAGCCAGAGCCTCCCGCCGGGATGCATAATGGAGAAAAAAGAGCTGGAAGAAGCGATGCCCGGCTGAGATCTTTCAAGAAAGCCTCTCAGGGATGAACAGGTGGCACACCCAGTATCTACCGTGTTTTTCAGGGAGAAAATAATCTTCCTGGAGTCCATGGCTTTTGGTGCTCCATGTGCATGTCAACCAGGATTCAAAGCTCACCCTCCATGAAACTCAGACACTGAAACCCAGCAAAAGTTGAATTCTTCGAGGTCGGCCGTGAACTGAGGACACGGTTAGACTTGCAACGCCCCTCGGTATCCAGTGATGGGTCAGACAGGAAACAATCGAACGGTTTCTTCATTATGAAGTATACCGACTATGAACATGATTCAGAAGTTTGGATGGTTTGCTGTCGTCTATTTTTGGACATGGCTTTCGTCTCCAACCATGGCACAATTTTCCCGCCATCCGGCTACGTTGGCAGGGTCCTTTGGTGTTTGAAGAAGCTTCCTATGAGCTCAGAAGTCATACTGTTCTCACCGGATTCCAGGGTTTTCAACAAGTTCATTCAGGTTTCAGCAGGATTCCTGCATGTCAAGAAGGTTCCCGCGAGGTTCTGGCAATGTTTCAAGAATGTGCCCACGAGTTTTTTTCATCTTTCTGTTTCAAGTTGTTTCACTTGTTTGTACAACAAGGTTGAACCATTGAAGGCTTGAGACATTGGAATCCCCGATCCTTGGGACTATGAAGATCTGGAACCCTGGATTTTTTGATTCCTGAAACCTTAGTGACCAAAATTTACCAATGAACCTTGCAAACTCAAACCTTAGACCTTCGTTTGATGGTCCTGAAATAAGCGACAAAATAAGAACTGGATTCTTTATTGGGATTCTTTATTGGGCAAGCGAAATGCCAATAAATATGAAACATACCAGTAGGACCGCACGAATCGGTGGAGGAAGTTTCAAAGATAGGACACCATAGGAGAGATGAGTTGTTGTTGTGATGCATGGATGGCAGAGCGAATCCACTGATGGACCGAAAGGTGGTTGGAGTTGTGCTTTTTTGAGTGGTTGCAGTGGTCACCTCAACCACATTTGCTGGATGTAGTGTGGTGTAGTGTAGTGCAATGTAATTGTAGCTGCAGTTGCAGTTGCAGTTGTAGCTGGTTGCAGTTGCATTGTAGCGTAGTTGTAGTTGTAGCTGCGCTTGATGTTGTTGCAGTTGTAGTTGCAATGATGAGTTGTAGCTGTAGGAGGCGTTGTATTGTAGTTGTTGTAGTTGTAGATGTAGTGTAGTGTAGTCTAGGTAGTCTAGTGTAGTCTAGTGGTGGTGTACTGTGGTGAAGCAGAGCGCAGCGAAGTGTAGCGGACTGAAGATGTAGTTGTAGTTATAGTTGCAGGTGTGGTTGCAGTTGTAGTTGTATTGTAGTGTAGTTGTAGCCGTAGCTGTAGTTGATGTTGTTGTGGTTGCAATGTTGCAGTTGCAGCTGTCGCTTTAGTAGTAGTAGTAGTAGTAGTAGTAGTAGTAGTAGTAGTAGTGGTAGTGGTAGTGGTAGTAGTAGTAGTAGTAGTAGGTGGTGGTAGTAGTAGGTGGTAGTAGTAGGTGGTAGTAGTAGGTGGTAGTAGTAGGTGGTGGTAGTAGGTGGTGGTAGTAGGTGGTGGTAGGTGGTGGTCGTAGGTGGTGGTAGTAGGTGGTAGTAGTAGGTGGTAGTAGTAGGTGGTAGTAGTAGGTGGTAGTAGTAGGTGGTAGTAGTAGGTGGTAGTAGTAGGTGGTAGTAGTAGTTAGTAGTAGTTAGTAGTAGGTAGTAGTAGGTAGTAGTAGGTAGTAGAAGGTAGTAGTAGGTAGTAGTAGGTAGTAGTAGGTAGTAGTAGGTAGTAGTAGTAGGTAGTGGTAGTAGGTAGTAGGTAGTAGGTAGTAGGTAGTAGGTAGTAGGTAGTAGGTAGTAGGTAGTAGGTAGTAGGTAGTAGGTAGTAGGTAGTAGTAGTAGTAGGTAGTAGTAGTAGTAGTAGTAGTAGTAGGTAGTAGTAGTAGTAGTAGTAGTAGAAGTAGTAGTAGTAGTAGTAGTAGTAGTAGTAGTAGTAGTAGTCGTAGTAGTCGTAGTCGTAGTCGTAGTAGTAGTAGTAGTAGTAGTAGTAGTAGTAGTAAGTAGTTGGAGGTAGTATCAGGTAGTTGTAGGTAGTTGTAGGTAGTTGTAAGTAGTTGCAGGTAGCAGTAGTCAGTAGTAGGTTAGTAGGTAGTAGTAGGTAGTTGTAGGTAGTTGTAGGTAGTTGTAGGTAGTAGTAGGTAGTTGTAGGTAGGATGTGGAAAGATGGGAGATGGAGAGTCGTACAGGTTGCAGCGGAATGGCTGCTTTGAATGCTTTGTACAGGTGATGTGTGGGCGTTAGAAATCGCACGAAGCCCTGTGGCCCTGTGTTTTCTCACGCAAAGTGGCTCCCGGCGTCGATGGGGGGAACCTCGTTTGTGCGACGGGTGCAGCTGTTTGGCGCTCCAGTGGCCCCCATTGTCAGCGCTGCGCGGAGGTGATCTGTGAAAGATTCAATGCGCTGCGCCCTTGTGTTTGGTGATTTAGAGTTGCAGTTTGCATCGGAATGGCTGCACTTGTTGATTACCGAGGTGGTCGGCGCAGTTGTAGTGTGAGGCAGTGAGTGCAGATCGCATTAAAGGTGACGTTTGGACGTTAGGAATCACACAAAACTTTATGTTTTTTCGCCTAAAGTGGCTCCCGGCGTCGATGTGGGGAACCTTGTCTGTGCGAGCGGTCCGGCCTTCACAACCGCGTCCTCTATTGTAAAGTTGAATTCAGGGGTGCAGTTCGCATTGTAATGGCCGCACCCATCTTGTTGATTGCCTCGGTGGTCCACGCAGTTGTAGTGTGATAGGCAGCGATGGCAGATCGCAGTGGAACTGCTGTGTACAGGTGATGTTTGGACGTTAGGAATCGCACGAAACTTTGTGTTTTCTCGCACAAAGTGGCTCCCGGCGTCGATGTGGGGATTCTTGTTTGTGCAACGGGTGCGGCTGGTCAGGGGTGACCATTTTGGGTTTGCATGGCTTCCTCCATTGTAAAGGTGACTTTCAAGAATGTCAATGAGCTCATCGACTGCGCTGTGTCAATGTGTTGCAGTTTGTATTGGAATGGCTGCATCCATCTTGTTAATTGCTGGGTTGGTCGACGCAGTTGTAGTGTGATTTGCAAGGCAGTGAGTGCAGATCGTAGTGGAACTGCTGCGTCTAGGTGATGTTTGGACGTTAGGAATCGCACGAAACCCTATGTTTTCTCGCGCATGGTGGATCCCGGCATCGATGTGCGTAAAGGTGATGTCTCGGAATCGCATGAAACCCTGCGTTTTCTCGCACAAAGTGGCTCCCGGCGTGGCGTGGATGTGGGGAACCTCGTCTGTGCGACGGGTGCGACTGTGTCGGTTTTGCGTTCGTTTCGCTCCTGCCATGGTAAAGTGCACTTTCATTATTCATGTCAAGCAATGAGATCGTTGACTGCGCTGTGCCAATGGGTTTGGTGATCTTGGGTTGCACCGAGCAGTGTAATGGCTGCATCCATCTTAGATCTTGTTGATTGCAGTGGTGGTCGACGCAGTTGAAATTTGATTTGCAAGGCAGTGATTGCAGATCGCGCTGTCATAGCTGCGTGAAGGTTGCTTGGTGCCGCGGCTGTGTGCGTAATGCTATTGTCTTTTGCAGCTGGACATCGCAAATCGTATTGGAGTGGCTGCATCAAGGTTGCGATAGTGATTTGTCAGCAGATTTTCTCAATTTCGGCGCTGGTGATTTTCCTTCGAAATTTTCCCTCCAAAATTGCTCCAAAATCTTTTTTTTTTGCTTTGGCGCCGAGATCCGGTTTTGGAGCTGCAATTTCTGTGTAAAAGCCCCTCTGTGTAAAAGTTTCTCTATAACAGTGCGAAAGCTTCTGTGTGTACAAGCTTTTTTGTGTAAAAACTTTCTCTGTGTAAAAGCTTCTGTGTGCAAAAGCTTCTGTCTAAAAGCTTCTGTGTGTAAACGGTTTTCTGTGTAAAAGCTTCTGTGTGCAAAAGCTTTTGTGTCTAGAAACTTCTCTGTGTGAAAGCTTTTGTGTGACAAAGCTTCTCGGTCTAAAAGCTTCTGTGTGTCAAAAGCTTCTGTGTAAAAGATTTGCTGCGTAAAAGCTTTTCTGTGTGTAAAGCTTCCGTGTGCAAAAGCTTCTGTGCGTAAAAGCTTCTCTGTGCAAAAAGTTTTTGTGTCTAAAAAGCTTTTCTGTGCAAAAGCTTCTGTGTGCAAAAGCTTCTGAGTGTAAAAGCTTTGCTGTGTAAAAGCTTTTCTGTGTGTAAAGCTTCTGTGTGCAAAAGATTCTGTGCGTGAAGGCTTTGCTGTGTAAAAGCTTCTGTGCTTCTCTGTGTGAAAGCTTCTGTTTGACAAAGCTTCTCGGTCTAAAAGCTTCTGTGTGTCAAATGCTTCGGTGTGTGTTAAAGCTTTGCTGTGCAAAAGGTTTTCTGTGTGTAACGCTTCTGTGTGCAAAAGCTTCTGTGCGTAAAAGCTTCTGTGCGTAAAAGCTTCTGCGTAAAAGCTTCTGTGTAAAAGCTTCTGTGTGCAAAAGCTTTTGTGTCTAAAAGCTTCTCTGTGTGAAAGGTTCTGTGTGACAAAGCTTCTATGTCTAAAAGCTTCTGTGCGTAAAAGCTTCGCTGTGTAAAAGCTTTTCTGTGTGTAAAGCTTCTAGGTCCAAAAAGCCTGTGTGTAAAAGCTTTGCTGTGTAAAAGCTTCTGTGGGTAAAAGCTTTGTCGAAGGATGTTTAGAAGTCAAACTTCCGACAATATGGACAGATGAAAAGCAGAGATGGGAAGAGTCAGAGAGAGAAGAGAAGAAGAAAGAAGATTAAAGAAGAGAAAGTCTCAGAAGAAAGAAGATCCAAGTGCGCGAAAAGGTAGTAAAGTCGCAAAACACTGTGTTTTTCCAATGATTTGTGGCTCCGGAGAGTCGAAAAGTAGGCTCGCTAAAGCCGCGGGTGCGGAGCTACCTGGCCAGATGAGAGATGAAAAAGTGCACGCCGCTGTGGCGCGAGGCAAATTTCCAACTCAAAATGCACAAAACACCTCGTCATGTTCGGAGCACTTTGGAAGTTGAGATGTCGAAAAAGTGCACGCTGTTGTGGCGCGAAGCACATCTCAAAGTCAAAATGTACAAAACACACTACGTTCAGAACGCTTTTGGAAGTTGAGATGTCGAAAAAGTGCACGCCGTTGTGGCGCGAAGCACATTTCGAAATCAAAATGCACAAAGCACACCACGTTCAGACCGCGTTTGGAAGTTGAGATTTGAGATGTCGAAAAAGTGCACGTCGTTGTGGCGCGAAGCACATTTCGAAGTCAACAGTCTAAAAAGCTGCCGGGTTCGGAGCACTTTTGGACGTTCAGATGTCGTTTCGCGTGGCAGGTGCAAGGGATTGTGCACCTTGTCCAAAGTGAGCAAAACGTGATGGTTTTGTAGCATTTTCAACTACAACCACCACTACACTACATTACACTATACTACACTCCACTACACTACACTACAACTACAACTACACCTGCATTCCACTACACTACGCTACATTACACTACACTACACTCCACTTGACTACACTCCACTACACTCCGCTACACTCCGCTACACTACACTCAGTTGCATTACACTGCACCACACCACACCACGCCACGCCACGGCACGGCACGGCACGGCACGCCACGGCACGGCACGGCACGGCACGCCACGCCACGCCACGCCGCCTACACTACACTACACTACGCTACGCTACACTACACGACACGAAACGACACGACACGCCACTACACCACGCTACGCCACACCACACCACACTACACCACACCGCACTACACTACACTCAATTACACTGCACTACACTACACTACACTCACTACACTACACTACATTACATTACATGTGCATTACATTACATTTACATTACACGACATTACATTACATTTACATTACATTACATTACATTACATTACATTGACATTACATTACATTACATTTCATTACATTACATTACATTACATATATTTTTTAACATTACACTACGCTCATTACACCACCACAAATGCAACTGCAACTGCGCTACACTACTTACACTACCACAACTACAGCTCCACTACACTACAACTACAACTGCAGCTGCACTACACCACACTACATCCAGCAGTTGTGGATGAGGTGACCGACCAGGTGACCACTGCAATCATTGCAACCACTCCAAAAAACACAGCTCCAACCACCTTTCGGTCCATCAGTAGATTCGCTCACCGCTTTGTGCAGTACTACTGGTAGTAAGAAGTAGTACTTGGAAGAGTGCTTTCCTGCAAGCTTTGTTGTACGAAGTAGTACTGGGAAGTACTTTGTGCAAGCTTTGTAGTACGAAGCAGTACTGGGACGTGCTTTTTGCGAGTCTTGTAGTATGAAGTAGTATTGGGAAGTGCTTTTTGCGAGTCTTGTAGTACGAAGTAGTATTGGGAAGTGCTTTTTTGCGAGCACTGGGAAGTGCTTTGTAGTACGAAGTAGTATTGGGAAGTGCTTTTTGCGAGCTTTGTAGTGCAAAGTAGTACTGGGAAGTACTTTGTGCAAGCTTTGTAGTACGAAGTAGTACTGGGAAGTGCTTTTTGCGAGTTTTGTAGCTCGGAGTAGTATTGGAAAGTGCTGCACCTGCAGGCCTTTCTGAAGACATAAATCTGAAAGGCATTTGCGCAGAAGTTGAAAATGACGCACCTATGATTGATGATTTGGCCATGGCGACAGACTTCGAGACCTTTGCAAACTACCAAGGTGTGGAGGACAGCGCGCATGCCGTGGCCGCCATCCAAGGATACCGTGACAAAGGGTATCTCAAGGAGTTCAAAGACTTGGACTCACTTAGATCACACTTGGGGGCAGAGCCCGTACTGTCCAAACTTGGTTGCATCGTCAAGGAGAAGGTGAATGTTGAGTCTGGCGCCATCACCAAGAAAACACGAATAATTCTTGACTGCAAGCAATCTGGAGTCTCCAAATATGCTGCCGGGAGGCACAAGAGCGTGCTCCCCAGGATCAGTGACGCAGTTCAGTCTGCCCTCAAGATGTCTTACCACTGCGGCCAAGGAGAGTCAGTATCGCTGTTCATAGCTGACGTTTCGGATGCCTTCTGGTTGGTGCCGTTGATGAAGACGGAGCAAAAGTACTTTGCGGCAAAGTTAGGTGGAAGATATTACCTCTTCCAACGCGCTGCCCAGGGCTCCAGAGGGGTACCACTGACGTTTGCAGTCTTGATGGCGCTTGCTTCAAGGTTTGTTCAGTCGCTGCTATGTTTTGCCACAGGTGGAGATGCAATGCCCGAGGGCATGATCCAAGTTTATTTGGACGATCCGTTGGCCATCCTGAAAGGATCAAAGACACGGCAAAAGCGACTGGCATGTCTGATTGCATCAGCCTGCATGATACTGGGCATCCCTATGGCATTTCACAAAGCAGTGATGCCAAAGTCGGTCACCTGGATTGGAGTCACCATCGAAGCCAACGATTCGGAAATCGTGGTGGAGGTCACTGCAGCCAAAGTGGCCGAGTTGCAGATGCTGGTGCGTGAGTCATTGACAAGTAACGTGATCCCTGTCAAGAAGCTTCGCACACTCATTGGCAAGTGCATGTCAATAGCGTCGGTGATTTATGTGTGGCGTCCCTTTATTCAGGAACTTTACGCAGCCTTGCACGGGCCCAACCATGCGCCAAACAACTGCGTGTGGACCAAGCAGATCAAACATGCATTGGTGTGGCTGCTGGCGTTTCTGAACGAAGAAGCTGGATGCACCAGGCGTATATACAGCATCGAGGAATACTACTGTGCGACCAGCTGGGTGCAAATCACTTGGGATGCATCACCTTGGGGCATGGGTGCTTTCCTGACCGTGGATGGCAGAGTCACCGAGCACTTTGCAGTACCCATCTCAGAACAAGATGAGGCCATCTTACAGGCCAAAGTGGATGCGAAGGGCAGCAACTCTGGGAATGCCTTTCAGGTTTGATTGCAATGCGCCTATGGGCGCCATACTGGCGTCAAAGAAGAGTGCATCTCTACCTACGGGGTGACAACATTTCTTCGCTGGTGCTGTTTTCCACGCTGAAAACACACTCAAGGCAGCTGGCAATCATCGCCCGTGAGTTTGCGCTTGACCTGGGAACTGCAAGTTTCAAGCCAGAAGTGGTGCAACATTTGCCTGGAGTGGCCAACGTGGTTGCAGATTCCCTGTCACGTAAGTTTGAGCCAGGGAGGCCCTATCTGCATCATCCCTGCCTTCATGCATCCAAAGAAGTCGAGCCTCCTTCGAGGCCTGTGCAATGGTGGAAATCCTTGACGGAGCGATCCATGCCGGCTTCACCACTGGCAAAATCAGGGGCATGGAGCAGGAAACGTCCTAGAACCGATCCAGACACTGAGACTTAAACCTGTAACGCTGTGAAAAATAAACCGTGCCGGCCGTGCATTGCTGACAGGTGAACTTTACTGCTTAATTTGTGTCACTTTGCATTTGAGCTGAGTTGTTTGCTGTGATGTCAGTTCTTGTGCATTGCTTGCTTGCATGAGCGAGCAGGCCTTTTAGCAGTGATGGGTGACACTCCTCATGGGGACCCGATCCCAGTTACCCACGCTTGTGGGTAAGTGTTACCCACGCTTGTGGGTAAGGGGAAGGCACCCAGAACATGTCACTTGACCTTTGAGCTGTCTGTTGTTTGCTTGATGTCAGTTCTTGTGCATTGCTTACCTGCATGAGCGAGTGTCATTTCATTTCCTGTTTGTTCGTGCCGCAGGCCATTTAACAGTGATCGATGACACTCCTCGGGGGACTTCCCCCAGATACCCACACTTGGGGTAAGAGGAAGGCGCCCAGAGCAAGAAGCCCAGGGTACGGTTTTGGGGGTGCACCTGTTCTTGCTGTGAGTTTGTGTCACTTGACCTTCGAGCTGAGTTGTTCGCTGTGATGTCAGCTCTTGTGCATTGCTTACCTGCATGAGCAAGTGTCATTCATTTCCTGTTTGTTCGTGCCGCAGCCATTTAGCAGTGATGGGTGGCACTTCTCAGGGGACTTGATCCCAGTTACCCACGTTTGTGGGTAAGAGGAAGGCACCCAGAACGAGAAGCCCAGGGTACGGTAGTGCGGGTACTCTGGGCACAAGAGGGGATGAAAAGGAGAAGAACAGGTGTGAAAGTGAATGCACCGTTCCTCCCAGTGCTTCCGGCAGGGGATTTAGAGAGTTGGCTTCGCAATACTTGCAAATTAACCAATGACTCTCACAAGTGTTCCCCTGTCTTTGGTGGCGCCCGTGGTGTCCCCGTTTCTGTGTCCAACAGTCAGGACGGACCTCAGACAGCCCAGTTGTCAGACCCCGTCCCTTATGGAGTTAAGGGCGGCAGACGACAAGACATGCCGGTTCTTAGGAAGGTTACAGATGTTAATTCAATTAGTTTTTTTTGATTTTCTTTCTGATCCAAAAGCGATCGATGAGGCCATGTCGCAATTTCGCGGTGACTTCTATGCTGCATCGTCCAGAAAGCCAAGAGATGCGATGCTGCAAACCTGGGCAAGATTTCACAGACGTTGGTATGCCAACAATGACATAGTTTCACTGACTGTGGAGTCCATGGAAAAAGTGTCATGCCTTTTCAAGCTTGGGGCATACAAGTCGTACAAGAATTACCTATCAAGGATCAAGGAGCTCCATCAGGAATCGGGGTATGTCTGGTCTCATGCGCTGCAATCGTCTGCACGTCGGTGCACACGCTCGGTCTTGAGAGGTCTTGGCGGACCAGTCAGATCTGAGGCGTTTGATCTGGATCGCGTGGTCGCATTCCTGAAGCATTCGAACATTGACATTGCAGAAGATGGGCCTGAACCACCGCTTCATGCTGTTGTGGTGGGCACGTACTTCTTGCTCCGCGAGCTGGAGCTTTCGGCGATAGTTATGGAAGATGTGACCTTCACCAATGACACAGTGACGTTGAACCTTCCAGTGTCCAAAGTGGACTGGCAGGCAAAAGGCTGCCGACGCACGTGTTCATGCATTTGCAATTTGGGACATCACTGTCCTGTTCACCTTCTTAAGGAATACGATCACGAACAAAGAACCCATGGACGGACCTCTGGACCGTGGCTACTCAGTCGTTCTGGAGGCAGATGCACTAAGGCTGGCATGGTTGACATGATCAGGACTGTTGTGCAGTCATCTGGTGGCGGGGCAAAGGATGCCGAGGGCCACTGGGTAATCTCTGGTCACACCTTCAGAATCACTGGAGCGCGCACTTTGGCTACTTGGGGGCTTGATCAAATCACCATGCAGCTTCTGGGAAGATGGGGGTCGTCAGCTGTTCTTGGGTATTTGGCTGAATCACCGCTGCTCTCATTCTCCGAACGTTTGACTGGAAAGTCTGACGGAAAGATGATACACGCTGAGCATGTGATGGCTAGTGACATGGACGGTCGCAATATCACTGAGGCCGCACAAGAGCGGGAATCCCTGAGAAGAGAGATTGCGGAGCTCAAGAAGCAGGTTGGAGACCTCACCATGAGTCTGGGTGGTGTGGTACAAGTTGTACAGAGTAGACAGACCAGAGAAGTATGGTGGGTGCTGAATGACACTTCGAAGGTGTTACATTCTGCAGTCGTGGATCTTAGCACGACACCTAGATCGTGGAAGACTGCATGTGGGTGGAAATTCACTGTTCAGCCACTGATCACAACCTTCCGTGAGAAACCTCCCGGCCGCACAGGCAGAAGCTGCCCGAAGTGCCTGCCAGATTCAGATGACTCCTCCAGTTCAAGTTCTGAGTCGTGCTAACCGGTTACTTGCATAAATTGGGGGGTGCTGTGGGCATCTTGGTTACCCACTAGGCTACCCAACCGGTTTTGGTACCCAATTCAACATGTTTGGGTAAACTAAAGAAACCGACTCAGCAGCATCTTTAGGAAAACTGGAGGGTGGGAGGGACTGATTGACATGTGTTTGTTGGATGAAACATTCATGTTGAAGTAACATGCAACATGTCAAGGGAGGTAGGGTGGGTAATGTTCCCATATCGTACCATTTTGGCTCAAGATATGGGCACACCCCAATTTCGCTACCCCCCCGCCACTCACCTTTTCGCATAAATTGGGGGGTGCTGTGGGCATCTTGGTTAACCACTAGGCTACTCAACCGGTTTTGGTACCCAATTCAACATGTTTGGGTAAATTAAAGAAACCGACTCAGCAGCATCTTTAGGAAAACTGGAGGGTGGGAGGGACTGATTGACATGTGTTTGTTTCTGTAGAAAACCACCGTCCTGACATATGTCCTGGCAAGATTTACACAGATGAGATCAGATTAGGTTGGCAGACGTGGGACTGCTGCAAGCACTGTTGGAGTTGATTAGTCTTCACATATCCCTTGTCAGGGTGGACCAGAGAACAACCCGGCCGGGATCACAGGTTGCAGAGCGTCGAAGCCAGAGGTTGTTGATGTTGACCTTTGCACTTCTGAAAACTTTTCTGTGTACAACGGGCTGCCATCTTTCTGCATGGGATCCACTACAGGCTACATTGTTTCTGCCCTCATCATCACAAGCCCTGGAGGTCATTCTTAGCCTTTTTTTGGGTATCAAGGGTCAGGTTCTTCAATCCCCCTGCCTGATGCTAAACGGCCCCCATCCCCTAAATGATAAACAACTGGAGTAGTCTTGATTTTTTTATTTTTTTAATATTCGGGGGAAATTTTACAAATCGATCAAATACCTGTTTAAAGATAATATATATATATATATACACATAAAACTTTGCCCAAGATTGGATTTCAAGTCGAAGCTTGCCCCTAATAATAGGCGAACAAATTAATGAAGATTAGACATCAAATTTTCACTTTCAAAATCGATCAAGTCCTTATTCAAGTCCGAGATCCAGGATCGAGCGGTGGAAGAAACAACTGACATGAACATATGATGCGAAGGATTGAGGCTACAATGTTTTAGGGAAGTTTCCCCTAGGCAAAGCAAACCATAAATATGCACTTGCAACTTTGTGTTCCGTCTTTCGTGCATTAAGTATGTCTTGATTCTTGAAAGTCTCTGTGTATGAAGGGCTGCAGAGCAACAGCACGGGAAGGACAGGGCGACATGATCCCGCAGCCAGGACAGCGTAGCAGGCGCAGCAGCTTCAAGTGCGGTTGAGCAACGCGCAGCACCATCTGAGGTTGATCAACCAAGCTTGGGTGCGGGAAGCGCATGTGTTGACTACTTTAAGCAACCGTGGAATCACATCGTTCGGAAAAGCCAAAAAGCAAATCACTGATGCATCTCCGCACATTGTTCCTTGAAGTTGCATGTTGTTTTCCATTCACGCTTCCACCAAGAAACAACCCCCCCCTTCACAACAACTCGCGATGCTTTCACTTATTTATCTTCACCCTACGTGACGTTGTCTCATGCCAAAATTGTGACCATCATTGTCGTAGTTGAAGGCAATGTAGCCACACCTTTTCGCATTTGCTACCAGGTCTCCGGCGTCTCCGGGAAGGATAGCTCGAGTGCCAAGGCTGGGCCGAGCTCCAAGCCATTTTGGCGCTGAGAAACTGAGACTTTTTCGTTTTGACAGCGGGCAAAGGCTAACACTGAAAGGTTTGTTTTTATATAAAGGCTTCCCTCATTCTGTATCATTGTTTGTTGCTTTATGATGCTTGATGTTGTGTACATGTTTCATTATTTTTCTTGATTTAGTTTCATCATTTCATTGTGTCCGATTGGTACCTTGGTCTCTTTTTGCATGCTAATTGCGTGCTGCGTTAAACATATTATTATACGGTTCCTTTGATTTCTTTGTGTGTTGCAACCTCCGGCTTTTGGATGCGCGTTGATTCTTGTGGATGATCTGATTTTGAATGATTTTGATTTCTCAAGTGTTGCCTATTTGCCTTTTCCTCTGGGTGTGTTTCTTCTTACACTCTTTCTTCCAAATTAAGAATCCTTGACTTCGTTCTTGTATGTAGCATTATTGCTAGCTTGTGACTAGCGTATCCACTTCGAGGAAAGAACGAGAGGATACCCGAGTTGATGAACAGACTAGACGAATTTGTTGCGAGCGGCTGCCATAGTGCCAATAGTGTGGCGGAGGCGTGGATATTGGACCCAGTGAAAAAGATCCAATAGCCTTATGTTTGAATTACAGGCACGTCCTGGGAATTTCCAAAACAATAAAACATAGTAAAATAATGTAAAATAATAGGATTGACCCCAACAAGACAAGAATTCGAAAAACATAGGTGGACAATAACCCGTGATTCTGACCTCCTATTTTTTCCATTGTTTTGTCCACTTGTTTTTTCCTTGTTTCGTATGTTTTTCCTAGTTTTTCCAATTTTGTCATATTTTCCAAATTTTCTCGATATTTTGGCACATTTTCAATTTTCCAGCTTAGCCAAATTTCGGAATTCATGTTTGTCTGCTTCCATTTTTTCAGATTTCTTCCTTTTATGTTCCTATATTTTCCTATTTTCTTTTGGTAAACGTGAAAAAATGGCAAACCAAATCAAGAAAATTAGGAGAAAATTGCCAAAAGACGAGAAATTAATTGCTGATTTTGCTTATTGCTCATTTGTTCCTTCAAAGTTTCGCGAGTTTCTTGCTATTCTTCACGTTTCTATTTTTACCGAATGCAATTAACTCCTATACGTTTCCCATTTTCCGAAATTTCTCGTTTTTTTTTGATATTTTTCACGTGTCCAAAAAAAATAGGAAAACATATCAGGAAATAAAAGGAAACAAATTGAGCCGGGGCAACAATTTCTAGAAAATTGATGAACATTTATGATTTCATATTGCAAAAGCGTCGAGAAAATTAGGGAAAAACAAAGAATAAAAGGTCTCATAATTATAGGAAAACAATAGGAAGAACATTGAACAATAGAAACAAATGGAAAAAAACATAGAAACCATTGAAAACATTAAGAAAAAAGGGAGGTCAAAGTCAGGGGTTTTGGTCCACCATTTTTTTTTGCATTTTTTTGTCGGGGGGTCAATCCTATTTTTGTTTCCTTAATTTTACTTGATTTCTAATGGGTGCCTGGAATAGGCAAACATAACAATAGCCGGTACGTAAAAGCAGGCGGCCAGTGACACAGACCCAGGGGAAACTGCGAGCTTGAGGAATTACTACATGTGAGGACTTGCGTCGTGAAATGAGCAACTTTTCCTGGACTATTTGCAGATACGACCAAGATGACAGGTATATTTCAGATTCTCAAAGTGCACCCATCATGCTAGCTTCTTTCTGGTAGGATGATGCAGCACGTGCAGCAGCCTCTATGGAATGGTTGCGAAATGCGCAGGCCCGATTTATACACTACTGAGTGATGCAAGGAAGCTTGCGTTGACAAGAGCTCCCACGTTCGTCTCCATTCAGCATTTACATCATCATCATCATCATCATCATCATCATCATCATCATCATCATCATCATCATCATCATCACCATCACCATCATCATCATCACCATCATCATCACCATCATCATCACCATCATCATCATCACCATCATCATCATCCTCATCCTCCTCATCATCATCATCTTCTTCATTTTCATCTCCATCTTCATCTTCTTCTTCGCCATTTTCGTCATCTTTGTCATCATCAACATCATGATCATCATGATCATCATGATCATCATCATGGTCATCATCATGTGATGGTTCAACCCCTATTGGGCTGGTTAAATCCCATTGAAATCCCATGTGTGTTGCCCGTTTTGATAGTGAAATCCCCGTGTTTCCGTCATTATGGTGACGTTCCCCAGCTTTCATGCCAGGCAGCTGCGAATGAGCACATGTTCGAAGAGGAGGCTTATTGCCACGCAGTTGGGATGTATTAGCCATTTCTCAGCTTGTACATGCATATGTGTATTTTCAATAAATGATTATGTAACTATATATATATATAATCATCCTGGAGTAGATAGAATCCAGTGTCGTAGACGTTTTTTTTTTGAAAAAAACACAGGGTTTTTGACCCCAATGCTAAACTATATCTTCGGACCCCCTAGATAGAATATTCCAAAATCTACTCCACAATGCTCAAAGTGTGTTTTTTTTCCTTTCCTTTTCAGACCCTTCTAATTTCAACTTTTCCTTTCACAGTTTTCCATTCAAAAACCTGCAATTATGAACTATGACTGGTAAGATCGTAGATTCCTACTTTTCTCATGCCATGTTCCTTTCAAAGTTTGATTCCTACTTTTCTCATGACCTTTTCCTTTCACAGTTTTCCATTCAAAAACCTTCAATTATGAACTTTGGATTCCAATTTTTGCAATCCATTTTCCCTTCCAAGTTTCCTTTTCAAACAGCTGCAATAATGAACTTTGGATGGTAAGATCGAGGACTCCTACTTTTCTCATTTCCTTTTCCTTTCACAGTTTCCATTCAAAACCTGCCATTATGAACTTTAGATGGTAAGATCGTGGATTCCAACTTTTCTCCTGCCATTTTCCTTTCCAAGTTTCCTTTTCAAACAGCTGCAAGAATGAACTTTGGATGGTAAGGTCGTGGATTCCTACTTTTCTCATTTCCTGTTCCTTTCACAGTTTTCCATTCGAAAACCTGCAGTTATGAACTTTGGATGGCAAAAACGTGGATTCCAACTTCTCTCAAGCCGTTTTCCTTTCAAAGTTTCTTTTCAAACAGCTCCAAGAATGAACTTTGGGTGGGTAGATGTGGAGGAAGGGGCAGGGCGCACCACAAACACACGCTTAATTCCAAGTAACCTCTAAGAAAAACATTTTTTTCATAGTTCTCGTGGATATTCTATCTATACTTTTACGCAGCTGTCCTAGCTCAGCACTGGGGAGAAAGAACTTTGGATGGTCGATCTTGGGTTCCTTCTTTTCTCATCCCATTTTTCTTTCGTTGCTTCTTTTCAAAAACCTGCAATTTTCACTTTGGATGGTAAGATCTTGGATTCCTACTTTTCTAATGCCCTTTTTCTTTTAAAGTTTCCTTTCAAACAGCTCCAAGAATGAACTTTGGATAGGTACATGTGCAGGAAGGGGCAGGGTGCTCCACAAAAACATGCTTAATTCCAAGTAACCTCTAAGAAAAACATTTTTTTCATAGTTCTCGTGGATATTCTATCTATACTTTTACGCAGCTGTCCTAGCTCAGCACTGGGGAGAAAGAACTTTGGATGGTCGATCTTGGGTTCCTTCTTTTCTCATCCCATTTTTCTTTCGTTGCTTCTTTTCAAAAACCTGCAATTTTCACTTTGGATGGTAAGATCTTGGATTCCTACTTTTCTAATGCCCTTTTTCTTTTAAAGTTTCCTTTCAAACAGCTCCAAGAATGAACTTTGGATAGGTACATGTGCAGGAAGGGGCAGGGTGCTCCACAAAAACATGCTTAATTCCAAGTAACCTCTAAGAAAAACATTTTTTTCATAGTTCTCGTGGATATTCTATCTATACTTTTACGCAGCTGTCCTAGCTCAGCACTGGGAGAAAGAACTTTGGATGGTCGATCTTGGGTTCCTTCTTTTCTCATCCCATTTTTCTTTCGTTGCTTCTTTTCAAAAACCTGCAATTTTCACTTTGGATGGTAAGATCTTGGATTCCTACTTTTCTAATGCCCTTTTTCTTTTAAAGTTTCCTTTCAAACAGCTCCAAGAATGAACTTTGGATAGGTACATGTGCAGGAAGGGGCAGGGTGCTCCACAAAAACATGCTTAATTCCAAGTAACCTCTAAGAAAAACATTTTTTTCATAGTTCTCGTGGATATTCTATCTATACTTTTACGCAGCTGTCCTAGCTCAGCACTGGGGAGAAAGAACTTTGGATGGTCGATCTTGGGTTCCTTCTTTTCTCATCCCATTTTTCTTTCGTTGCTTCTTTTCAAAAACCTGCAATTTTCACTTTGGATGGTAAGATCTTGGATTCCTACTTTTCTAATGCCCTTTTTCTTTTAAAGTTTCCTTTCAAACAGCTCCAAGAATGAACTTTGGATAGGTACATGTGCAGGAAGGGGCAGGGTGCTCCACAAAAACATGCTTAATTCCAAGTAACCTCTAAGAAAAACATTTTTTTCATAGTTCTAGTGGATGTCCAGAGCCAAAATCTCCAGGATGTCCGGTGAGCACATGGTTGCTGAGTGGGTATGGGTCAAATTTGGGCGGGCTGTCATCTTTCTGCATGGGATCCACTACAGGCTGCGTTGCTTCTGCCCTCATCATCACAAGCCCTGGAGGCCATTCTTAGCCCTGAGGTTGATCAACCAAGCTTGGGTGCGGGAAGCGCATGTGTTGACTACTTTAAGCAACCGTGGAATCACATCGTTCAGAAAAGCCAAAAAGCAAATCAATGATGCATCTCCGCACATTGTTCCTTGAAGTTGCATGTTGTTTTCCATTCACGCTTCCACCAAGAAACAACCCCCCTTCACAACAACTCGCGATGCTTTCACTTATTTATCTTCACCCTACGTGACGTTGTCTCATGCCAAAATTGTGACCATCATTGTCGTAGTTGAAGGCAATGTAGCCACACCTTTTCGCATTTGCTACCAGGTCTCCGGCGTCTCCGGGAAGGATAGCTCGAGTGCCAAGGCTGGGCCGAGCTCCAAGCCATTTTGGCGCTGAGAAACTGAGACTTTTTCGTTTTGACAGCGGGCAAAGGCTAACACTAAAAGGTTTGTTTTTATATAAAGGCTTCCCTCATTCTGTATCATTCATTGTTGCTTTATGATGCTTGATGTTGTGTACATGTTTCATTATTTTTCTTGATTTAGTTTCATCATTTCATTGTGTCCGATTGGTACCTTGGTCTCTTTTTGCATGCTAATTGCGTGCTGTGTTAAACATATTATTATACGGTTCCTTTGATTTCTTTGTGTGTTGCAACCTTCGGCTTTTGGATGCGTTGATTCTTGTGGATGATCTGATTTTGAATGATTTTGATTTCTCAAGTGTTGCCTGTTTGCCTTTTCCTCTGGGTGTGTTTCTTCTTACACTCTTTCTTCCAAATTAAGAATCCTTGACTTCGTTCTTGTATGTAGCATTATTGCTAGCTTGTGACTAGCGTATCCACTTCGAGGAAAGAACGAGAGGATACCCGAGTTGATGAACAGACTAGACGAATTTGTTGCGAGCGGCTGCCATAGTGCCAATAGTGTGGCGGAGGCGTGGATATTGGACCCAGTGAAAAAGATCCAATAGCCTTATGTTTGAATTACAGGCACGTCCTGGGAATTTCCAAAACAATAAAACATAGTAAAAGAATGTAAAATAATAGGATTGACCCCAACAAGACAAGAATTCGAAAAACATGGGTGGACAATAACCCGTGATTCTGACCTCCTATTTTCTCCATTGTTTTGTCCACTTGTTTTTGCCTTGTTTTGTATATTTTTCCTAGTTTTTCCAATTTTGTCATATTTTCCAAATTTTCTCGATATTTTTGCACATTTTCAATTTTCCAGCTTAGCCAAATTTCGGAATTCATGTTTGTCTGCTTCCATTTTTTCAGATTTCTTCCTTTTATGTTCCTATATTTTCCTATTTTCTTTTGGTAAACGTGAAAAAATGGCAAACCAAATCAAGAAAATTAGGAGAAAATTGCCAAAAGACGAGAAATTAATTGCTGATTTTGCTTATTGCTCATTTGTTCCTTCAAAGTTTCGCGAGTTTCTTGCTATTCTTCACGTTTCTATTTTTACCGAATGCAATTAACTCCTATACGTTTCCCGTTTTCCTAAATTTCTCGATTTTTTTTTGCTATTTTTCACGTGTCCAAAAATAGGAAAACATATCAGAAAATAAAAGGAAACAAATTGAGCCGGGGCAACAATTTCTAGAAAATTGATGAACATTGATGATTTCATGTTGCAAAAGCGTCGAGAAAATTAGGGAAAAACAAAGAATAATAGGTCTCATAATTATAGGAAAACAATAGGAAGAACATTGAACAATAGAAACAAATGGAAAAAAACATAGAAACCATTGAAAACATTAAGAAAAAAGGGAGGTCAAAGTCAGGGGTTTTGGTCCACCATTTTTTTTTGCATTTTTTTGTCGGGGGGTCAATCCTATTTTTGTTTCCTTAATTTTACTTGATTTCTAATGGGTGCCTGGAATAGGCAAACATAACAATAGCCGGTACGTAAAAGCAGGCGGCCAGTGACACAGACCCAGGGGAAACTGCGAGCTTGAGGAATTACTACATGTGAGGACTTGCGTCGTGAAATGAGCAACTTTTCCTGGACTATTTGCAGATACGACCAAGATGACAGGTATATTTCAGATTCTCAAAGTGCACCCATCATGCTAGCTTCTTTCTGGTAGGATGATGCAGCACGTGCAGCCTCTATGGCCGTTTTGCAATGGTTGCAAAATGCGCAGGCCCGATTTATACACTACTGCGTGATGCAAGGAAGCTTGCGTTGACAAGAGCTCCCACGTTCGTCTCCATTCAGCATTTACATCATCATCATCATCATCATCATCACCATCATCACCATAATCATCATCATCATCATCACCATCACCATCACCATCACCATCATCATCATCACAGCCATCATCATCATCATCATCATCATTTTCTTCTTATTATATTCGTCATTTTCGTCATTTTCGTCATTTTCGTCATCATCAACATCATCATCATCATGATCATCGTGATCATCATCATGGTCATCATCATGTGATGGTTCAACCCCTATTGGGCTGGTTAAATCCCATTGAAATCCCATGTGTGTGTTGCCCGTTTTGATAGTTAAATCCCCGTGTTTCCGTCATTATGGTGACGTTCCCCAGCTTTCATGCCAGGCAGCTGCGGATGAGGCGGATCACATGGTCGCAGAGGCCTATTGCCACGCAGTTGGGATGTATTAGCCATTTCTCAGCTTGTACATGCATATGTGATCATATGTGTATTTTCAATAAATGAATATTATATAGCACGTAACATGTGTATTTTCAAATAAATGTATATGTTATATGTATATATAAATAAATAAATTTTGAAATTCATAAATAAATCTGTAAATAAATAAGTAAATAAAAAAGTATATATATATATATATTCGGTTGTGTCATTCAGCATTGGGTTTTGAGGCAATGACCGTTAGACAAACCCAACATATAGTAATTCTTCAAACGGTGAGATATATACCGTATACCCGTAGTAGTTAGATAGGTCAAAACTGCCATCATTTGTCTTATATTGAATGATGGGTATTCTTTTGTGTTGTAGTTATGGTACCTCTGCCTATTCGAAGGAAGTTTAGTTCGCAAACTTCCGAGTTGCGAACAAATCTCCCTGGCTAGCTGTGCAACCATGTGCAGCTGGTATATATAGGGGGAAACAGTAGATCACATGCGCAGTGACACTGCAAGGCATGTGCGTGTGAATCAATCGAAGTGCAGGAATCATTGTGTTTTACAGGTATGGTGGCTCCAGGGGTCGCCAAGGGAGGGTTTGTATTTCCACGGTTTCGGGTCTCGATCTGAACAAGCTGTCGCAAAAAAGTGGGGAGCCTGTAGCGAGAGCTAGATTTGCAGTTCAAAACTGTCAACACGTTCAAAAACTTGTGGTAGATGAGGTCGCAAGAAAGCGCATGAGACCATAGTGAGAGCTCGATTTGCAGTTCAAACGATTAAAGAGCATTGAGGGGTTCAGTGCTGTTCGGGTTGCAACCCGGTACGAAAAAACGCATGGGCACGGGTGCGTTGCGTTGCTGCTAGGTGCTGGAAGACTCATGCGGCAAAACACAAACTCAAACCAGCAAGACAGCCCCACAGCAAATCCGCAATACTCCGAGGGCATGCCCGATAAGCTTATTTGCAGCTCCGGTTCTGCGGCCTTGAGGCAGTCAGAAAAACATACCATTGTGGCGTGGTGCTTGGCCAAATTTGGAGTGAAGAAGCTGACAAGCAAACTCGCGTGGCAAGAACGCTCTTAAAAGGGAATTTCTTAGTTCGATTGACCCCCCACCCTGAAACACTATTCTGACATAGTTTCTGACATCTCATTTGGAAGTATATATGGCATCTTTATTCTGACATTCTATCTGACAAACTTCTGGCATATATTGACATTCCTTCTGGCATTCTTTTTAGCATCTGTTTTGACATTCTATCTGGCATCTTTTCAGGCATTCATTTTTGCCCACTGAGATCTGGAGCTCGCGGTTGAGGTCCGGCAGTGCGCACAGGGCAGCATGCAGCTTTTCATAAAATCTAGAGAACCTCACCTGGCAGGTGGGGAAAAATGCCAAGGATAGCCTAAACTAAAGTATTCTAGGAACAATTCCCTATTATACGGGTTTATGAAGAACAACTAAGGACCCTATGAAGCTGCTCGCTGTCACGGCCCAAAACAGTGGCAGGCTTCTGGGCCCAAAAGTACGGGCGCAATACTAAAAGTAGAAACCTGGCTTCCACATTCGAAACCCCAGCTTTTGGGCCCATGGTATGCAGACCCGCCCGTCTGCAAAGCCTTCTTTGATTTGCAAAGTTTCGAATCTATTATGGACGTTTTCTTGCACTTGGTGCCAAGATGTCGGTTTCACATTATGCACGCCAGCATGCCTTAAAATGAGGTCGTGTTGCAGTGAAGTTTCAGCGCAAAACCAGCAATCAGGCGCTAAAAAAAATTCCGGCGGACCGATTACGGGTCCACGAAAATGTAAAAATGACGACGGCGCCACAGCACCATGACGATTTCGTCTGTCAGTATTCCAAAATGAGGCCCGCAAAAATGAAATTCTTAACCATTGTGGGATTTGTCCTGCAAAACGATGCAAACTCGTTTTCACCTCTTTGGATTTGCTGGTTGGTCCTCCTTTAGAGCTGCGCCGGTGTTCGCTAAAAGGTCATCCGAATTCATCTCCCATCTCCACTGGGTGCTTTGGACGGATGACCAAAGCTTTGGGCTCGCCTTCCGTTTTGCAAGCTAGCAAGGTTGTCAGGGATTCCTTGCAACAGAAGATGTCTCTAGCTTAGCATGACGTAGATGTGCAAGTGCAACAGAAGACACATCTCTAGCGTAGTGTGACGTGTTTGCGCAAGCGCAGCAGCAGACACATCTGTAGCGTAGCATGACGTATAGGCACAAGAGCAACAGAAGATGTCTCTAATGTAGTCATGACCTATGTGTGCAAGTGCAGTTGAAGACGTCTCTAGCGTAGAATGACGTGTGTGTGTGCAAGCGCAGCAGAAGACGTCTGTAGTGTAGCAAGTGCAACAGAAGACGTGTACCTGAACGTTATTGGCCCACCCTCAACCCCACCCCACCCCATGTATGAGACATTACGTTTGTGAGATGGTAAACGGTCCGCTAGCAAACACATGTAAGGCGGGTTGTGACGAGGAGCAGCTTCACCAGGAAAGCGGGTATAGTCTCTTGTGAGTGGCGACATTGATTCCTGGGGAGTGGGACCATTTGTGCTTGAACTTTTCCACTTATCATACTGTACTTTGCAAATGGTTTCCTCAGTCAACTCAAATTGTTAAACGGTCCTGTCGGAAGTTTGACTTCTAAACTTCCTTCGACAATATCACCTTTGTCTACCTTTTGCGTGCTCTTTCCCAGGTTCTTGGCACCCTTATAAACGGGAAAACTGCCTATATAGAAAATATGGAAAATCTGCATTTGTTGTAGGCTGCTGGCTACTGGCTGCTGCTGGCTGCTGGCTGCTACCTGCTGTTTGCTCGCTCTTCGTCCCGTCTACCGGACGGAGGGGCCTCAAAATTGCAACCCAAAAACTCCTAACGTAATTTCTGAAACCCATAGAAAATGATATTTTTAGCTACTTTTTGCTCCTGCTGCTGCTGCTGCTGCTGCAACTGCTGAAACCCATTGAAACCCATAGAAAATCCCTAACATAATTACTGAAATCCATAGCAAATGATGATTTTAGCTACTTTTTCCTCCTGCTGCTGCTGCTGCTGCTGCTGCCTGTTCAAAAGATAGCTCCCGGAAGGGAACACACCAATGAAGGACGGAGAAGCTTCAAAATTGCACCCCAAAAATCCCTAACGTAACTTCTGAACCCATAGAAAACGATGACAAGCTACTTTTTCCTCCTGCTGCTGCTGCTGCAACTGCTGAAACCCATAGAAAATCCCTAACACAACTACTGAAACCCATAGCAAATGATGATTTTAGCTACTTTTTCCTCTTGCTGCTGATGCTGCTGCTGCCTGTTCAAAAGATAGCCCCCAGATGGGAAAACACCAATGAAGGACGGAGAAGCTTCAAAATTGCACCCCAAAAATCCCTAACGTAACTTCTGGAACCCATAGAAAACGATGATTTTAGCTACTTTTCCTTCCTGCTGCTGTTGCTGCTGCTGCCTGTTCAAAAGACAGCCCCTGGATAGGAAAACGCCATGGCAGTGAAGGACGGAGAGGCCTCAAAATTGCACCCCAAAAATCCCTAGCGTAACTTCTGAAGCCTATAGAAGATGATGATTTTGGCTACTTTTTCCTCCTGCTGCTGCTGCTGCCGCTTGCTGTTTATTAGATGATTTTAGCTATTTTTTCTTCCGCGCTATCGCTGCTGCCTCTGCTCTCTCTTCTATAGAAAAGGATGATTTTAGCTACTTTTTCCTCCGCGCTATTGCTGCTGCTGCTGGGGCTCCTGCTGCTGCTGCTGTTGCTGCTGGTGGCTGCTGGTGGCTGCTGCTAAAGAACAGCTCCCGGATGGGAAAACACCATGGCAGTGAAGGACGGAAAAGCATCAACCTTGCAGCTCTCCTCCTGCTGCTACTGCTGTATCAGCAGCCAGAAGTAGTAGTAGTAGTCATAGTCCGAAACAAGCGTCAAAAGTCTTATTCCCTGGCGCCCTCCCCCTTGCGTCTGCCGGGGTCGGAGGGTCTACTTGGATGACATCTTAGTGAGTCGTAAACGTTTCCTCGCCTGGTGGTTCATTGCCTAGTATTTGTGCAGGGTATGAAGTACAAAAAATGCATTGCCAATGATTACAACCTCGGTTCTACTTGCTTCAAGAAGAAACAACACGCGCCAGACAAGGGCTAGTTGGTAGCTGCAAACTACTTGACATAAAGTTGTTTAATGCTATAGTCCACGAACCGGGAGTCCCGCCCTCAACGAACTTGTAGGTTTGAGGAGAAAACATGTTTGGGCATAGGGTGACAATCAAAGGCTCAAGCATTACAAAAAAAAGGTAAACACAGTTCAAATCCTCAAAGCTATAAAACTTGGGAGAACAGAAGACACATATGCTTACCGATTTTGAGCCTCGTCAATCATTCGTACTTGTCTATCTGTGGGCTCTCCATCTGCCATGCGAACATTGGATTGGTATGTTTGGGTATGTCAAAAACAATTATATACTTGCTACTTCCAAAAGAGTAATAGTTAGCAAAATCTACCTGATCTGAAGAGAGACCGCTGTGGGTGGTTGAACCTTCGAATCTGATGGTAGACTTGCCTGACATGGATGGCACCTAAAGATACCTAAGAGCCTAAGGGTATCTACATCTCATGTTCAATCACCCATTTTGGGCACTTGTACGTGGCTGCCATATTGCATTTACTACAGAATGTACAGTGGGTGATTGTTGGAACACTTTTGATGCTAAATATACGTATACAGATGGATGGAGGGTTTCTCAGTGGTATCCAGCTGGTCGTCGCGTTGTTTTGGTTTCACGGCATACCACTCCAAATGGGCACGGCAGCATTTCTCTTAATGTATTTGTGGTTGCCAATCGTAGGTGAAGCGTGGCCGTGCCAGGAACTTGAATGGCAGAATGCCAGAAGCAGCGACATAGAAAGTGAGGCGCAATTATTTGGCATTTTGCCAGGGGTGCCTCATAGGAGTCAGCGCGGTTAGGCATAGTTTCACAGTTAATTCGAATGAACTCAACCCTCCGGCGACAGACCATCTGCATATCTGCAAAGGACATGTTTAGTATAGAACAGATACCCAGTGATACCCATGGCAGTTGTCCAGGGAACCGTCCCAGCCCCGCTTGGAAGTATCCACCGCTCAAGGCCATGTAGCTGAAAATCGCAGGGGCTTAAGACGAAGGGTTTCCACTGTCCGACGGCTCTGTGAGGTGTAGAGTCATGTCACAGATTTTGCCTGCGCGTGCCGCATGGGCACGGAATTGTCAAATGAGACAATTGGCTGGAATACAAGTAGAGACTGTTCAGGTCTTTGCTAGAAACTCAGATGAGACGTTTGAATCTCCAGCCTGGAAGCCTAGATGCTGTGGGTTTGGCTGGATGCAAAGCCCTCAGTTTGCTGAGGGAACGTGGCAACTAAGTTCCTTGGTTGCCGCCAACTTGGATCTGGTGAGGCCTTCAGGGCCTCAACCTCAAGAGGAACCATGGCGCGACTGCAACATGCTTGCTTCGGCCCACTGCAAAGCCACAGGGATGACCACATGGCGTTGACTGGGCCAGATATTCTGCGGATCATTTTACACGTTTCAGTCACAGGCAAATCGAGGTGTGGCAATCCCTGGACTCTGGGAAAACGGTTGTGTTACCAATATAGGATCAAATTGTAAGATATTGTAAGACATTTCAGCATTTTCAACTTCTCACCGAAATATGGTTTTGACTTCGATGCTACAACTGCCAAGGTTTTTTGCAGTGCTGCAAGCGGGCCGCTGGATCGCGGTCAAGCCGTTGAGCTGCAATTCGCGGGCCATCGCGTAATCGCGGGCCCGTTTTTCCATGCCAGTTTTGCTCAGCTAGCCAGCAACCAAACCCCACCTGCTTTGACATTGCGAAACAAATTGTCAGTTAAGGATAATTGCATTCAATTTCCTGTCAAGATCCAGTAAGACTCTATTAGGCTTAATTTGTGTTTTTATGAATCTGAGAATGCGACCTGTTGACCCCCTAACCCCAAGTCCCCCCCATGTCCCCTAAAAAGATAAACCCTAAATGGTTGTTTATGTACATGAAGATATAGGTATACATGAATGCGTGGGCGCAAGTGATGCTGGTTCCGCTTTAAGACTGCTCGTGATAGGGATTTGTCCCACTTCATCACAGCAGCAGCGTTTCGGGACGTGGCAACCCTTTGTCCGGAATGAGCCGATGAACTCATATCGTGACGGGGCCATGTGCCATTTTGCATTAGGGTGTGAGTGGAACACACGCAGATCATCAGTGGGTGTCAAAGGAGGAAATTGTGCGTCCCTATGGACTATAGATGTCCTAAAGACAATCTAGAGACCTTGGTTCTGTGCGGACTATGTAGCAGCATGGATTGTGTAGCAGCAGTATATTCGGGCAATGATGATAAATGATGCACCTTTGTGTTGTGCTTGTGACCCTGCTACTCACCTTTCCTTGAGTACATTAAGATTAGGAGGAGATGACGCGAGAAGCAAGCATTCATTGTGACCCAACTTGAGTATGTCATAGTATGGCTAAGAACTAGCTTCAGATATAAACGGAGCAAGGGGCAAAGTTCTGATCCTGTTGGGAAAGATTTCGAGGGCTGGTCGAGTTGGTCCATAATGCCAAGACATTTTGGGCTACCGAACCTCAAAATTGCACCCTGTATTGGTGTTGTTCCGAATGCGCAGAAAAGGGTCCCGCTACAGTAGGGATGTTGCAGTTGGACCAGGGTCTGCCCACCATTTGCCACATGTGTGCAAAAACCGTGCGTATGGGCTAGTCTTCAAAGCAGCTAGTTGTAAGTTTCCTGTGTTTGTGACACGCGTCATGAAAGCTGCGTCTATCGTGGGGGACAAATGGTGCTATCACCTGCTGCACCACCCACACCCAAATTCAACGAATGCTACATCCGTTGGCCTGTTTGCAGCGCTCAAAGCTGGCAGTATGGGTCAAACTGAGTCAGGCCATGTCAGGCCATTGGAGCATATTATAGATTGACGGATTCGGATGATTTGGGTCATGTGTAGTGACGAAACTAGACATGCTGTGTTTGCTTCACGCTTGCATAATTTGAGCCATCTGCAAAGCTGCATCTTCTGTCTCTGGAATTCTTTGGAATTCTTTGGATCAACGGCCGTCGATGGCAGGAAGTTGGTGACATTGATGGATGGCTTTTGGACGCCAGAAAATGATGGGGAACACAGCCTCAAGCGTTCCATCCTCAAAAGACTCATATTGGTCGTGACCTTTGTGATTGTGAATTCGACCTTACACAGCATTCCATGTAGACAGGGATTGATGTCACTTGTACTAAGAGGTTCATACGGATTTATACGTTTGACTTAGCTGGGATGATACGGGGAAAAATGGCTTCCTGGAAAATAAGATCCGGAAAGAAAACAGATCTCGCTGGCACCTTGGTCCCTTGGCCCCTTCGTGCCTGCTCCCTTGGTCTTCTGCTCCCTTGCTATCTGGTCCCATAGTCCCCTGCTCCCTTGGCCTCTTGGCCTCTTAGTCCCCTACTTTGATGATGGTCATGCACAGCCCATCATCATCATCATCACCATCATCATCATCATCATCATCATCATCATCATCCTTATCATCCTCATCATCCTCATAAACTCATAATCCTCATTGTCATCGTCAGCGTCACCGTCATCGTCATGCTAATTATTATTAATCATCATCACAAAATCATAATCATAATCATGTTCATTATCATCATCCTCATTCTCCTCCTCCTCCTCATCATCATTATCATCATCATCATCACCATCATCATCCTCATGATCCTTATCATCCTCATGATCCTCATAAACTCATAATCCTCATTGTCATCGTCAGCGTCACCGTCATGCTAATTATTATTAATCATCATCACAAAATCATAATCATAATCATGTTCATTATCATCATCCTCATTCTCCTCCTCCTCATCATCATCATTATCATCATCATCATCATCACCATCATCATCATCGTCATCATCATCATCATCATCCTCATCCTCATCGTCATTGTCACTGTCAGCGTCAGCGTCACCGTCACCGGCATCGTCATCATCATCATCATCATCATTATCATCATCATCACCATCACCATCATCATCATCATCATAAAATTATATTCATAATCATATTCTTATTCATTGTCCTCATCCTCAGCCTCTTCTCCTCCTCCTCCTTCTCCTTCTCATGATCATCGTGATCATCATGATCATCATGATCATCATCATCATGATCATCATGATCATCATCGTCATGATCATCATGATCATCATCGTCATGATCATCATGATCATCATCGTCATGATCATCATGATCATCATGATGGTGATGATCGTGCTGATCATGATGATCATGGTGATCATGATGATCACCATGGTCATGATGATCATCATGATCATTATCATGATCATCATCATCATCATCAGCAGCATCATTATGATCATCATCATCATCATCCTTGTCATCCTCACCATCCTCATAATCCTCATCGTCATCGTCACCGTTATCGTCATGATACTTATTGTTATATAATCATCATCACCAAATCATAATCATCATCAAATTCATAATCATCATCCTCCTCCTCATCATTATCATCTTCATCATCATCATCATCCTCATCCTCATCCTCATCCTCATCGCCATTGTCAGCGTCACCGTCACCGGCATCGTCATCGTCATCATCATCATCATCATCATCCTCGCCATTGTCATCATCATTGTCATCGCCGTGGTCATCGTCATCGTCATCGTCACCGTGATCATTGCCATCATCATCACCGTTAGTGCAAGCCTGTGTAGCTTAATTGGTCTTGGAGGAACCCCAGGCTTGTCTTCCTACAATAAAACCGGCGCGGCAACGAGAACGTCCACTTTCACACAATCGCAACAACGACCGGCGCAAGTGTCCAACAAAAACATCCACAGTTGTTGGTGTGTATGGCGGGCGGACGCAGCCACAACAGCATCATTAGGTTCGGTTTGGGCGGCTTTGGGAGGGAGGATATGCATTTTTTCCAGGTATTTTTTTTCCCCACTGTATATGCGGCCTGAACCTTCATTTTTTCCCAGTAATCAAAAAATTGTTTTCCAGTGTTTACCCCCTGGCTGGTTGTCAGCACACCGTTGCTCGAGGGTTCGAACGGTGCATGACATGATCCTGGTGGTGAGAAAAACATCTGGCAAAATGTAAGGCCAAAGGAGTCAGCAACAGTTTGATGCTGGAGTTAGTATTTTTTTTTCATGTTAGCTGTTTATGTTGGGCCAACATTTATTTAGGTTTTCTTCAGAATATTCAACCATCCAACGTTGGAGCAGTCGACTTTTCGGTTGCCATCTTCCAATCCATCACCAGCTGTTTCCGCAACTTTGTAGCCTCGAGTCTCAGATGAGGAACTTGGGTTTGCCGAATCTTCAGGTTGTCGAATACCTTCAGGATGATGTCAAACAGAGAACCAAGCAAAGTGTCCGCAACAATTTGGTCACAAGATGTCACAAGAAATACATGAGCGTTGGGGTTTGTTTCCAATGCTGGGAGCGGCTGCGGGCATTCTACGGATCCATTCTTCCAGGAGTGCTTCGCGATGGAGTTGGAACTGTGACAGGGATGCGCGGAAGTGGTTCCCTTGCTGGTAATGTGACAACACCATGTGACATGTGAACGACTCAAAGTACCTCTGTTGATTGGCTGATTGGCTGATTGCTTTAGGGAGTCATATTGAGTTTATCGTGGGCTATTGTAACCCAGAATGTGGAGTAGTTTTTCATGGCTCATGTGGGTGTGTCTGAAATTGGGGTATTGTCCACGAATGACCAACTCATCGGGAAAGTGATGAGAATCCTTTGAAATTTGGAGTACTCCATTTTCAGACAAACCAAGAAAGAAATTTGTTGAGGCTCAATCATCTAATGTGGCTGCGATCCAAGCGTGTCCAAGAGTTATTTTGTGTGCAAATCAGGTACCGTATACATCCGTATACTATATTATTCAAATCAGGTACATCATATTCCAGTTTCATTTGCTCAGCAACATGATCCATACAACTTTTGACTTGTACCCGGAAACATAATCAGAATTCCTCCAGCCCCTTCTGGTTTCTGATTGGGTTGAGGTCAAACGTACCACAGGCCAAAGGATACAGAGAGAAAAAGAACCATGACATCTATAGATAGATGAGTATCATGCGTGATATTCATAGACTAACTAACTATGACGAACTCAATTTCTTTCAGTACATTGCCGTCACGTTGCCGCGTAAGAAATCGTTGCCTCGCTGCCATGGTTTCGACAGCTGTGGTCCCAGTCGCCCTGCCCGGCGAATGCGAGGGCCCAGAGCCTGCAGTTTCCTGCGGCCATGGCAGCTATGGCATGGTGGTGGAGAACAACCTGGGAACAGCCATTGAGGTGTGGACCGCGGTGTGGAAGATGAACATGGGGTATGTACATGTATAATTAAGTTCTTTTCGTTTTAAGAAGAGGGAAACATATTTTAAACTAGTGGAAGTTTATTGTAGGCAGGCTATTTTCAGACAAACCCAGGTGGAGTTGGACAAAGAGGTCAAGGTGCTCTACCCGGGGAAAAGTTGCAGCTTTGACATCACCCGAGCATCTGAGAAGCTGATCAAGGTTCACTGCAGGGATGACCCCAGCATCTGTGGGACTCGGCAGGTCGAAGATATCTCGACCCTCCGTGCATCGGAGAGTTTTGGTTCTTTTGGCGGTGAGGTCGCTGATTTCGTGCAAAAGGAGCAGCAGCAGGTGGAACAAGAGAAATCCCTGTTGCAGAAACGGAAAGACAGGATGGAAGCCTTTCTTGAAAAAGAACGCCGCGAAAATGCGTTTTGTGTCTTGGCTGGTTCTTTGTCCTGCACAGCACTGTTCTTCGGCTTGCTGGTGCTATGGAGTTGTTTGGACCCGCAAGATGAGGTCTCTGCATTGCTCCTGTCCTTGGGAGTGGTGCTGTCGCTGGCTGCCCTGTCCTGGTGCAGCTGGATGGCTCAGGGTTTTGGTCGCAAATATCCAGGTCCACGACGGAAGAAGTTGGCCTATCATGGAAGCTTCGGCTGTTCCGTGCTGGGCGGCCTTGCTGTAACCATAGCCATTGTGAGGTATGTGCTGGCCGGATTCTGGTGGACCGTGTTGGCAGCTGGGTTGCCGTGCTGTTGCCTATCTATTGTCATGTGTATGGCAAATTGGGACTCCTTCGGGATGTGGGAGATTATCCAAAAAGAGTCGGTGTCCGAACGGACCATCGTGTTTCGCGGCAAAGTTCTTCCAGGCACCGGCAAGTGCGTTTGCTCATGGCCAGGGAAATACGAGTCTGCCTGGGACGCGCTGGTCACAGACTGCCGCAGGGGCAACATCAGCGCGGCAGTGGTCTTCCTGCCCGAGGGCTCGGAGGATTACGGCAGGCACGACCCCATCCCGGAAAACGAAAAAATACCGGGCACCTGCTGGTGCGTTCCCCTTTACGGGGAACCCAAGAAGTGGGGTTGCCATTGGTGGACAAAGTGGATAGCAAACATCGAAAAAGCACATGAGGAAGGTGCAGAAATAGAGGTCTACTTTTTCAAAGGCATGAAGGGTAGAGGCAAGGTTCGGGATTTCTCAACGGCTGGCAAAGAGAACTTGAGGCGAGAGGCCATTCAAGAGAAACAAGAAAAAAAGGACTTCTTGCAGTCGCAAGCATTTTCTGAGGCATGCCATCAAGGAATTGAATGCCTTTCGACAGAGCCACGTGAAGACTCTTCCTCTCAGTATTCCCGGGAGGTACGGCGACTCTTTTTGGCGTGGCTTCCAGAGGAGGAACGCCACTTCATGGAGGCATCCGAAGGCCTTGGCAATTCGCAGAAGGCAGAAGTAGCGTGGCTTGAGCGGAAGGGCTATGCTTACACTGAAGTGGAGGTAGACATCTTCCAGTGGCTTCAGCAGCGGATGTAAATAATATTTGCATATATTTCTCATTTATATTGGTTGTAACATTGACTTTTCCGCCGCTAAATAGTTGATCCATGTTGCTCCAAGGGAGGCAGAGTTGGCCAAGCCACCTGTTGACATGGGTCGGAGATGGACAGAAATGGTAGGCCTTGGTTGCGTCGAATGGCTGGAGGATACCCAATCAATTTCCAGGAACAGGACTTACATCAACAAGGGCCCCGAATGGGAAGATAAATTTGATCATCAAAATATGGATTGATTATTGGATAATATCCACCGATTGTTGGATAATTTGATCGTCAAAATATGGATTGACTGTTCTGTTTATTTGGGAACACTGGACTGTGCGACTGCCTCTTGTGACACGGTGATCCTTTTGATTTGCCAACAGGAGGCATTGAGATGGTGTTCCAGTGCACCCTGTCGAAACCTTAGGAGCAGTGACCTGCTTTGAAATCTGATCCATAGTCCAGCCAGTTGTGTCTTATCTGTAGCTTTTTTAAACCTTCAGGGCAACCAACTCCAAGTGCTGCATCGGGTCTATGTTGACAAATGATTTGCGGGGCAAACTTTATCCCACTAGGCCTACAGACATGCGCCCAGTACCGTGGAAATTTCCCAATGTTGGGGGGAAGATTCACCTGATCAGAACAACTGGTTGAACTCAGTACAGTCAAATGCCATAATTACTTTTTTTCCTTAAACCATTGCAACAGGATTAACCATGCTTTCACAGCAGGACTTAAATCCATTTTTTTCGGATCAACATGACACAATTTTGGTGGTTCAGTCCACGATTTGCCAGTGATTTCAACCCCGTTCCTTGCTGAGTCTGCTGACCGCCCATTCCAATTGTGTTTAAAAATCCCGCCCAAATCCAGTAGTTGGTTAAAACATGGTAAAACACATCCACCAAATTCGATTGAACAAAATGAACCAATCCATAGGAATCCATAGAACTCGTAGTATTTGATAGTTAAATTAAATCCCATTATTTGCTGGTTGGCTGGTTGTAAATCCATCTCAAACGACACGCCCCAGATTTACCAAGGCACCATGGCGGTCCAAGATGTCGTTGTGGCGGTCTGGGAGGACATCATGGGAAAGTGAGGATTGAATCGCGACCAAATTAGGGAGTTGACCCAGAAAAGTGGGGATTTGAACCATGGTGATTCACCTCACACATTGAGATTTTTGTATCAGAGATTTGTGAACCGGGGGTGTTATGCAAAATTGGAAAATGACAAAGAAACCATAGAATCGCGCAAAACAAATGCTTATATAACGTCCCTTCTGGAATCCATAGAAAAATATAATGATCATAAAGAACAACAGCTACACAAGGAATCAGTGGATGCCGCTGCAGTGTGCTTTCTCAGGTCCTGTGAAAAAAATAAGGGCTTATTTATAGATAGAGATAGAACCAGAGATAAAGAAAAGGATAGACATAAAACATCATAAAGCTATATAAACAAATATAGAACATGTATATATATATATGATATATATATATAGACTTTCTTGTAGAAATTTAGGCAGAGTGTCACGATGTTAACCTCAGCGGTTGTTTACTCTAGTGGCTTTTCAGTGTTCAAATCTCTGTATGCCCCCACCGGTTTGTTCCAAGTGTCGCTTCTCCCTTGCCATAGAGGGCGATTTGTGGTGCCTGGGCTGCGCTGGCTGGGAAGCCATTGGACGCGAGCTCGGAGGACATTGGGACATAGGTGGAGCCAAAGTTTTGGCCAACGACCTTGTGCTAAATTGCTCTAGGCAAGTGAGAGCTCTACGTTCCTTGGGGGCAGGTATCTCTACCGGGGGGGGCAGATCAGTTGAAGCTGGCCAAAGCCGTGCTTCTGTAGCACCTCCACCACCAGCTCCTGGCCGAGACCAAGGTGACAGGGACACCCGAACTAGGAGTGAACTTCCTCGACAACGTGCCACCTTTAACTTGCCTCGACCTCCTTCCCCACCTCGAAGGGCAAAAGAAGAGCAGGTGACAGAACCTTTGAGTGAAGAAGAGGAGGAGGAAGAGGAGGACGAGGAAGGCGACGATCCTGAGGTGAGAGGTGCCGAACCTAAGAGGAAACCCCCAGGGCCTGATCCTTCACCGCGGCGCGAGCGCCAGCACTCTTCAAGGCGATCACACCGTTCAGCTGGCCACAGCCGTGCTGAGCGAAGTCGATCACGAAGAAGAGACCGAACCAGAGGTTCTCACACACGTCAATCGAAGCCACGGAGGAGAACCAGAAGAGCTGGGAGGAAACATCAACGACTCAAACGCCTGGCAGAGGATCCTTTGTTGCGAGTCCATCGAAAAGCTGGACCAGGACTTTTGGAACTATTGTCAGTGAGTCAAGGCCGCCACGCTCTGGAGCAATCCGTTTGAGCAATGGCAGACTTGGACGAGGATGGAGTCGAAGTGGATGTAACTCAGTTGCAGGCTTGGAGCGCCCTTTCACCCGCGCGCGGCCAGATTTTAGAGGTTGCGCTGGGGCAAAGCAATTTCCACGAGGCGCCGGCCGTTTGGGCCGCCTTTGTGATTGTACGAGTGTCCACCCTTTTAGATGGATCACTAGTTCTGGAATGCCGTTTCCTGGGGTCCGAAGATACTTCCGTGGATGGCCGTCTGGACACCGATTTCAACACAGAAGGGAATTCAATTCACCTTTGCTTGTCGCGGCCTTGTTTAGATATTTCAGAAGGCGAGCCGGACCTCGGGGACTTTTTGCATGCAACCAGAGTGCGTTTGTGGAGCGCGTCACGTTTTGTGGAGGTTTGCCCTTACCTTTCAGATGCTCAGAAAAAGAATGTGAACAAGTTTTTGAAGAGCTCTACAGAAAAACCAAAGGCTCCCAGGACTCCCCGTGCCAAAGCAGCTACCGCAAAAACTGCACCAAAAGAAAAGAAAGACAGGGGCAAGCCTGGAGAAACTGGAGGAAAAGCCGCCCCTCGCCGCAAGCCTGCCCTTCGCACTCCCAAAGAGACAGAACCTGGGGACCCAGATATCCGGGCATCCAAAGAGGAGCTGCGGCAGAAGTTGAAGGCTTTGCGGGTCAGACTTCAGGGCGATGGGAAGGAAGAAGATCAGGAGTATTCTCCGGGAACCTTGGTCGACGAGGAGCAGAAGGATGGGCTAGATGTAGAGAGCTCAGACTCTGTGCAGGCAGATGGCCTGACGACAGGAGCCAACTTGGATCCTCTTCCTCCAGAGCTGGCGAAAGCCGTTGCTCGGAAGGACAAACTCCGCCGCTCTCGACGTCATACAGGCGGGGAAGATGCGCTCGCCCTGGTGGATACAAAAGACACCACTTCGAAAAGCTTGAGCGGCCAACTGGTCCAGAAAGCTCTGGAAGTGACTCGTCAGAGGAAAGCAAAGAGCTCGTCCAAGAAGAAGAAGAAGGTGTCAGGGAAGACGGATATGGAGCGGCTTTCCAATGTCCTGGTCAAGGCATTGCAGAAAGCCAGTGGGGTAACCCCCAAGGAGACCGAGGCCACCAAGAAGAAGAAGAAGCGCAAACGCAGAATGTTGAGGGATGGAACGATAGTGACCTCAAGCGCCAGCTCAGGAGCTTCCTCGGGGGCGGAGACAGAAGAGCCCTCAAGCGACGAGGACCTGCAAGCACCGCTCAGAAAGAAATCCAGGGACCGCCCAGGAAGCGTTTTGCAGCTCCTGGTGGCCCACATCAGGGACCAGTTGGACCAAAGCGCCCTGACAGAGACCGGCCAGGCTTCAGCCGTGGTGACTGGGGGTGTGAAGGTCATGACCTACTTCAACATCCATGTCAAGGGCGCCTATCCTCAACACCTTCGAGAGTTGAGGGAGATGTTTCATTTGGCCTCATGCATAGATGCTATTCGATCTGGGGACGTAGCTCGCTGCGCAGACGGCTTAGCAGCGCGGTTCATAGCTCTACATCAGTCCTTAGTGGACGGAAATTGGGGAACAGCTCGTCACTTGGAGCTGCATGCTATGGAAGACGTGACCGCTGCCAGCCCGTCCGCCATTTTGGCGACGCGGCGACATGCAAAACTGGTTTCAAAAATGCAGGGCTACCCCTCCAGCTCCTGGGTTCCGGGAGCCGGCCGCGGCCGTGGAGGAAAGGGCAAGAACGAGTGGAGCTATGGCGACACCAGAGGCGAAGCAAAAGGAGAAGGCAAGACAAAGAACAAAGGAAAGAAGGGCAAAGGACGTTGGGACAATCGCCCCAACTGGGACACTCCCCGCAGCAAAGACTGGGAGAAGAACAAAGAGAAGCCAGAGGAGAAGCCCAAGTAGCAGAGGAAGCATCTCTGGTCAAGGCCGTTGAGATCGCTCCCCAAGCTCATTTGGCTGACTTGGGTCAGATCCTACGTTTGTGTGACACACTGAGACGCACCGGGTGTGTCCTGGCGTGGGGCTTGATTCATGTGAGCTGTTTCACCAACGAGCTCCAGAATTCAGGCATCTATAGGCTAATGTTTGCCTCCAGCGTGCGGCAACGGGCCGGTCGGAAACGACTGGCTCTTCCCTTGCGCGAAGGCGAGTTGGCCGGGACTGTGAACACCTTGAAGGCTGTTTCTTTGTGCGAAGCCGCTGAGGATAGCTTTTGTACTCTTCATGCCGAAGCTTGCTGGACATACTTGGCTTGTTTTGCATGTAACTCCTTAGTGGATGTGCAGCGGCCTCTTGACTCAGGAGGCTGGATAAAGGCTGAGGAGCGGGCATGCGCAGCTGTCAGGCTGATGACGAGACGTCTGCTCAGCCATGGACGCCAAGAACCTGTGAGCTCAGAAGGCATAGAAAAAGATGTGAAGCTTGCACGGGTGAACTATTTGGGTGAAGAAGTAGGGAGTTGCCATAAGTTGACACTGCGGCAGATCGAGCCTGCTCTACCACCTAAAGAACATGGGGGATGTATTGATTTGATGGATTTTGTTTCACCGGTGACTGGAAATTTCTTAAGGAATCCTGAACACTGTATCCTTGAAGACAGGGGCCAGCAATTGCCAAAACTTCAAGGAAAAATCCATGTTGCCGAGGGAGAACTTCCTGCCATCACGAGCGCACTGATTAGTTGCGGGGTTTGTGACTGGATTCCTTTTGATGATGTCCTTACTTATCGTGGGGAGCCTGTTCTAAACGGTCTTTTTGGGGTGCCCAAAACATCATGTTTGTCTTCGGGAGAGCCTATTCTTCGTGTTATAATGAACTTAGTACCTTCAAACTCAGTGATGCTTCAGCTTGAAGGGGCTGTTAAGAACTTGCCCAGTATTACTGCTTGGATGTCATTGGTGGCCGATGAGGGTGAAACTATCAGGATTTGGCAGTCAGATATGACCAACGCTTTCTATCTCTTTGCTTTACCTCCTCAGTGGAGACGCTGTTTAGCGTTTAACATCGTAGTAAATGGAAAACAGATTGACAGAGACCCTGCTAGGAAGTATGCTTTGTCCTGTTGCGTTTTACCCATGGGTTGGCTTTCTTCAGTTTCAGTTATGCAGGAAGTCAGTGAGCGTATCTTGTTGCGCAGCATGTTGCCTGCGGGAGAGCAAGTAGTTCGCAACCGCCCTCTGCCCTTATGGATGGTTGGTCTTTTAAAGGAAGCCCGAGAGCACCGTCGTATATGGTGGCATGTCTATTTGGATAACTATGCCGGAGGGCAGGTGTTGGGCGTTTCTGAAACTTCAGCTGCTGGTGATCAACTCCACCAACTAGCAGAAAAAGCTTGGAGAGAAGCACAGGTTGTTTCTTCAGAAAAGAAAAGGAAGCGAGCAGTTGAAGAAGCTGAAGAATTGGGAGCCCTAGTCAGCGGAGCCACAAACACCATTGGGGCGTCTCCTGAGCGGATCCTCAAAGTGATACAAGCTACTTTGTGGATTCTCTCTCAAAAGCATTTATCAAAGAAGCATGTGCAGGTGGTGGCAGGACGGTGGGTCCACATACTGCAATTTCGTCGGCCGGGTATGGCCTTCTTGGATTCTACATGGCAATTTATTAGCAGCAAGACTTTCAGCAGCCGTCTGGTAGAACAGGTAAAGAGAGAGCTCTGGAGTTTGGTGTGTGCAAGCCCCCTCTTACATACTGACCTGGGAGCAACAGTTTCTAATTTTGTGACTGCGTCGGATGCCTCAGGTTTTGGTGGAGCAGTAGGGATTTCAAAGCAGTTGACGTCTGTTGGGAGCGACTATGTAGCAGCAATGACATCTAGTGTTCGCTCCGTTGTCAGTATCCCGGTGTTGGTGATTTCCCTCTTTAATGGAGTAGGAGGGTGCTTCAGATGTTACGACATACTTGGGCTTGCACCTTTGGGACTTATTAGTTTTGATATACATGGGCCCGCCAACAGAGTTTCGAGCAGACGGTGGCCCCACTCGCTGCAGTACCATGATGTGAGGGAGATTGACGAAACCATGGTTCGAGGATGGCTTCTTAAGTTTGTCGGAATAACAGAAATCCATGTTTGGGCAGGCTTTCCATGTACGGACCTTACGGCACTGAAGTCAGGTCGAGAAGGATTAGCTGGTAGTCAGTCGAAGCTATTTTATGAAGTGCCTAGGGTTCTAGAAGTGCTCCGGAGCGCTGCAGGGGAGCTGATTGAGATCAAACTGGTGGGCGAGAATGTTGCCTATATGGCAAAGAGCGAGTGCGTGGAAATTTCAGAGACTTTGGGAATTTGGCCATACCACTTGAACTGCTCTGACGCAGTGCCCTTGAACAGGCCTAGACTATGCTGGTGTAGCGAGTCCTTTGAGGGGGTTCTGGATGGGGTACTTTTTGAGCGTGAGGATTTTTGGACTAAGGTAACTGCTGAAAACCCTTATCCAGATCCAGCCACATGGATAGAGCCGGAAGTTGTTTGGACAGGCGCAGAGTCTGGCGATGTCTTACCAACATGTCTCCGGGCCATCATCCGGAGCCGACCACCACCGAGACCGGCAGGTCTGTCAAGGTGCGACGAAGACACTAAAGAGCGATGGAAGAGTGAGCATTTCCCTTTTCCCTCCATATCAATACTTGTCCCGTTTTCTCTTTTGGAAGGGTAACAAATGGAGACTCATTGACAGTACAGAACGAGAGCTGCTCTTAGGGTATGGTTGGATGCACACACATCTTTGCATGAGCGCGAGTCAGATTAAGAAGTCTGCTGCAGCCTTTGAAAACGAACGACTTTCTCTGCTAGGAGACAGCTTTAGTATTTATTCTTTCGTTATTCCGGCAGCCGCCCTATGCAAGCATTTCTTGCCTCGGATGAGCTATGCTCATTTGTGCGATCGCATGGGTCTGGCGCCTGGTTTTGCAGCTCCATGGAGGATTAAGATCCCTCTGCTAGAAAACTGCAGTATGGGTTTGATGGTTCAAATTTATTGATGTCACCACAACTGCTGAATAAAATCTTACTCGCTAGAGTAAATCACACGGGGTCTGACATCCGTATAACTACTGGCGAAATCCTCAACCCAAAAGCCTTCCCTAGGCAGGCAGTTGAAGCTGAATGGTGGGACTGGGAGCATGTCTTCAAGTTTAGATGGGCTCACAAAGAGCATATAAATCGGTTGGAACTACGAGCAATACACCAAGCTGTTATGTATACTATTTCTCATTTTCAGGTCACGCGTTTGCGTTTGTTTCATTTGACTGACTCGTATGTTTGCCTTTCATTGATAAGCAAGGGTCGCAGTGGCAGCCGTTTCCTGAACAAGTTGCTCAAGGTATTGAACGCAAACCTTTTAGCCCATGGCATCACACTGATTCTGGGACATGTAGAGTCCACACAGAATCCAACCGACCATGCGAGCCGGTCGGCCTAAGTTCTTGACTAGACGAACCCGCGCTGAAAGACAGAAACAAAGAAAGGACATAATACTAGCAGATGCAGCTATTTCAGTTCGAACACAAGAGAGGTACTATGATGCTATGAGAAAACTTTTGCCTACACTGGAAAAGGTCAAAGGACCGCCTCAGCTGGATGACGCAGTAAGCGACTGGGTTGAAAAACAATGGAGAGAGGGTCAAACAATTCATGTTGTTTCAGACGCATTGTGTGGCCTTCACCACTTTGAGCCCTATACCAAGAAGTTGATCCCATCAGCATGGAAATTGTTTCGCACTTGGCGAAAATTGGAGGCCCCCAATAGGGCCCCTCCACTTACAAAATACATAATATATTCGTTGGCTCACTATGCGATGATGCATAATGATTTAGTTTTTGGAACTTTGCTTTTAATGGGATTTTTCGGGTTACTCCGCACTGGAGAGTTGTTGCTGGCAAAGCCGTGCAACATCCTTGTTGCAAAGGAACGGGTAATCCTTTCACTGGAAAGCACGAAATCTGGGAAGCGTAATGCTGCTTCCGAGACCGTTTCTTTTGATGATCCCTTCGCAGTGATTGCCATTGATCAGCTGTTACAGTTACGAGAACACCAACGCTTGCAGCATGTCCCTTGTTGGCTTCACTCTGCACAGAACTTTAGGAATAAGTTCAGCGTTTATTTAAAGAAATTTGATCTCCAAGGCCACTGTTTCAGACCTTACAGCCTCCGAAGAGGAGGCGCGACTCACCTTTTTCAAACCACTGGCAGTATGGAATTGGCCTTGCTTAAAGGCAGGTGGGGATCGGCCCAAGTGGCCAAAATATATTTACAGGACGGCCTTAGCTTCCTGTCGATGTTAACTTTTTCTCCACGTGCCAGGGAAAAACTGCAAGAGTGGAGGCCTTTTCAACACTACAGTGTCAAGTAAAGGGGTCGTGGAATGGCTTTTTGAACTTTATTTGAACCTTCCTTCCATGGAAGTAAATGTTGTTTCTTTTTGCGGAGTTCCTGCCATGGAACTGAAGTCAACTCTCTACCATGAGAGAAGCAAGACAATGTGTGTTTAAATCTGTTCGCAGCCTGAAGGGCGCGACAAAGCGAAGAGTTCGCAGCCTGAAGGGCGCGACAAAGCGAAGAGAAGGGAACTGTGATTACTTCTCACAGTTCATGAAACCTTACAGTCACACGCTGGAGGTGGAAAACAAGAGTGCACCGATGCCTAGACTTTCTTGTAGAAATTTAGGCAGAGTGTCACGATGTTAACCTCAGCGGTTGTTTACTCTAGTGGCTTTTCAGTGCCCGGCCACTCCCACCACATTGGAATGGCTTTTTGAACCTTGTTTGAACCTTCCTTCCATGGAAGTAAATGTTGTTTCTTTTTGCGGAGTTCCTGCCATGGAACTGAAGTCAACTCTCTACCATGAGAGAAGCAAGACAATGTGTGTTTAAATCTGTTCGCAGCCTGAAGGGCGCGACAAAGCGAAGAGTTCGCAGCCTGAAGGGCGCGACAAAGCGAAGAGAAGGGAACTGTGATTACTTCTCACAGTTCATAAAACCTTACAGTCACACGCTGGAGGTGGAAAACAAGAGTGCACCGATGCCTATATATGTGTAATATAGATAGATAGATAGATAGATAGATAGATTAGATTAGATTAGATTAGATTAGATAGATAGATAGAAAGAAAGATAGATAGATAGATATAGGTATAGATATAGAGATAGATATCGATATACATAGATATAGACAGATAAAGATAGAGATGGATACAGATAGATACAGATAGAGACAGATAGAGCCAGGTAGAAACAGATAGAGATAGATAAGGATAAAAATAGAGATAGATTTAGAGAGATAGAGATAGATATAGAGAGGTACATACAGATATAGAGAGATAGAGAGATAGAGAGAGAGAGAGAGACACAGAGAGAAAGAGAGAGAGAGAGAGATAGAGAGCGAGAGATAAGATAAGATGAGAATAGAAAAGATTAGATTCGATTAGATTCGATTAGATTCGATTAAAATAGATAGATAGAACGATAGAACGATAGATGGTGTATGGATTGATGGATGGTTGGATGGATGGATGGATAGATAGATAGATAGATAGATGGCACGGGGGTCGCATTTGCCCCTACCTCATGTGGGGTCGCACTTGCCCCTACTCAAGGTGGAGGTAGGGGCGAACGTGACCCTAGGGTAGGGGCGGATGTGACCCCACCTCGTTTTGCGTGGCAAGGCCGGCAAGGCGCAATGGTTTCAGAATCTCGAAAGGATCGTTTTGCAGCTGTGACAGTCAGTTACGACGTCTTTTTCAAGTGTCACGTTGTAACATCCATTTCAAGTAACTCCCAAAACGCTGTGGATGCTACGTTGTAACATCCAATTCAATCAACTTCCAAGATGCTCTGGATGCTACGTTGTAACATTCATTTGAAGTCAGTTTCAAGACGCTCTGGATGCTACGTTGTAACATCCACTTGAAGTCACTTCCAAGACGCTCTGGGTGCCATGTTGTAACATCCAATTCAATCAACTTCCAAGACGCTCTGGACGCTACGTTGTAACATCCATTCCAATCAACTTCCAAGACGCTCTGGGTGCTACGGTTGTAACATCCACTTGAGCCTGAGGAGAATCGTCAGCGGGATCGAGCACGAAGTGGATAGCATGGTCCGCAGAGAGATGATGACCACGATGGTCACAGCAGAGGTGGGAAGATGAGGAGTGAAGCTGGAGCACGAGGATCTGGTGATGGGGAGCCTGCCAGGTTGACCGTCCAGAATGATGGGTCGATCGGTGGTGGCGGCGGGGGAGCCAATGCGGCTGACCCTGCGAACTTTCCTGTTCTACAACCAGATGCCAGAGGGGCCGATCATCACCCCGAATGGACGTCCTGTCCAACCTTGGCCAATTGGACAAGTTATGGATGATGAGCCACCGATGCCAATGTCCAGTGCACCTTTGCAAGCGGAATCCGAGACTGCAGTGCCTAGTGCTGCAGGTGATGTTTAGTTGGATGATCCTGGTCTTGCGGTGCCGGTGGCACCACCTCGTGATTATGCTGAGAGCCCAAGAGAAGCAGCAGCATCTCGTCCAAGTGATCATTCAAGTGAGGAAGCTTTGAAGAAGCAGCGTACAGAAGAAGCAAAGAGACAGCGCATCAGCAGACTGAAAATGGAATATGAAGAGAGATTGAGCGCTGTGAAGATTGCTCACAAAGAATATTTCACAATGGATGATTATACAGCTGACTTGGATACAGAAGATGCGATGGATGACAATGATGATTGGGCTGGAAAAGATGCAGTGATTTTGTCAGGCATTCCTGATGAACTTTGGTCTGATGCTCCAACTGATCAACTCGCGCCTGAGCCGCCTGACAAGTGGATAGATGATCTTGCAGACCGAGTTGAAATCCAGCGTCTTTGCAGCATGCAGGTTTTGGTGCCTAGAGATGATTTTCATGGAGAGATCACAGGCAGCTTGGCAACAAAGATGGTGAGAAAGCGTTGGATGCGTAGGTCAAGACTGGTGGCTAGAGAGTTTGCCGGCTAGAGAGTTTGCCACAACAAGGAGACTGGATACATTCAGCCCAGCAACTGGGGCACACACGTCAAACCTTTTACAACTCAAATACTTTGGAAAGAAAGGTATAGCTGCCGAGGCAAAACCCAAGGAGGAGTATGATGTGGTGGTGGGCAGCCTAGACGTGCGTGATGCCTTCTTGCAAGTGGAGCAGGATGATCCTGTTCTAGTATATCTCCAAGTGTGAACCATTTGTCATCAGGCGCAACTTGCCAGGGCAACGACTGGGAGCCAAACAATGGTTTTTGTGCTTGAAAGCTTTTTTACAGGGCAGCTTGGGTTCACCTTTTTCCAAGAACAGCCTTGCTTGGCCCGAACACCTGAGGCCACCATCATGATCCACGTTGATGATATTCTATTTGTTGGCTTGAAGTCATTTCTTCAAAAACGAAAAAACGATTCACAGTCAGTCATGATGAGCTGAAAGGTGCTGGTAGCAGCATAACCTTTTTGCGCAGAAAGATCGCTGAGGTGGAGAATGGTTTGATTTTGGCTCCAGGAACAACAGTGGAGAAAGTCGTAGGTGCGTTTGAAGCTGCGTTTGGCCAGGCCGGGTCACAGAAATTGCCAAGGGCCAAGTGATTCAAGTTCGCAACTGCCAGACAATTCACAGAAACTTTCAGCAAAGGATGCAGGTGCCTATCGGTCGATAGTCGTTTTGTGCCTGTACATTGGGCGAGAAAGGCCAGACCTCATGTGCACCATCAAGGGGTTAGCATCATGCATGAGTTCCCCAACTTTGACTTCACTGGCACGTTCGCGTAAGATGATGGGTTGCATGAAGGCAGTTGGAGATGTAGGACTGCATTTGCAATATCCACAACCTGGTCAGGGAAAACTGAACGCAGGATGAGTTTGCCAATGGGTGTTAGAAAGTTATTCCGACGCAGACTGGAGTTCAAACAAGGCAACAAGGCAATCTACCTCATGTGGGGTTCACTACATCAATGGTTGCTTCATGTATGCAGGCAGTCGGGGTCAGAAACTGATTTTACTGAGTTCTTGCAAGAGTGAGCTTCACAGTCTCATCAGTCGTGCATGCGACAGTTTGTTCATCAAAGCTTGCGCAGTGTTTGTATTGGATGACCAGTTGGAACACATTGTCTACACAGACTCAAGCTCAGCGAGACAATTGGCCTGCAGACAGGGATCAGGGAAGGTACGTCACCTTTCTGGAAAACTGCTGTGGATACAAGGCAAGACTGCAGATGGAAGCTTTCAATTGCGCCAGGTACGTGCAGCATGCAACATAGCTGACATAGGTACAAAAACGTTGGGCAGGCAAAGGTTGTTTTACCTTTTTTTATGAATGTGGATTGGTCTAGAGTCTACATTACTACTGACTTTACAAGGGTTGGTGCAGACGAGTTTTTGGTGCAGAATGACAAGCTTGTGAATTCCAAACAGTTGACACAGATCACCAAAGCAATCCTGAGAATGAGCATCGCCATGGGAATCACTGGGGTCTTGAGCCAGCAGGACCTTTTGGAGCTATGGCTCAACTATGTGACGTTGTGACAGAAGAGCCCAAGCACAATGCATGGTGGATGTTTACACTTGTGTTTTTTTGGGATTTGCGTGGTTGCGCTGTTTTCAAAACTTGCGTTGGGAACATGGAGATGGCTTGAACAGAGGATGATTTCTCTTGAAACTGCAGCGCGTGGAATTGGGAGTGATTTAGAATAATCACAAATGCAACTGGCTGATCACTACGACTTTGCGGCTGAGTTAAGCAGCAGGATTGACGATTTCAGTGGAAGAACAAGCACTGTGGAAGAGAACCATGACATACTTGCAGCTCTTCAAGCCGCATTTGAACAAGAGATGTTGGAAGGCTATAGCGCCATGGAACAGTCTACCAACTGTGTGAGATATGGCTTGATGGAGCTTGGTGGAATTGTGAGGCATGCAAGCCTTACCTCAGATCAACTTCGCCACATGATGATGCAAGAAAGAGGAAACCTTGTAATTAATCTGGAATGTGAGAAACCGCACAGAGAACACAGACCCAATTGAGGAGACAGCAAATGATTTCGAACAGGCAGAAGAAGAAGCCCCAACTTCAGATGCAGAAGCCGATGAGACTGGTGGACAATCTGGTTTGGAGAAGCTGTTGCAGCACATGCGCAATGACCAGAACAGCATTGCATTGGCAGCTGAAAGTGGGAGTGAGTCCAACGAGATTCAGCATGCAATAGTCTTGGTTTTGGATGCAACAGCTGGACCAGAGCCTGAAGGTATGAGCATGCGTGTGACCAATGGAATCAGACATGTCTTTCAGAGACTTCACAGATATCACCGCAATCGCGGCCAAGATGAACGCCGAGCTCGATTCAGGC